GATGGCGAAGACAAAGACGATGCTGATGATTATGCTTGTGTGATAGTGATAAAGATGGACAGGATGGTCAGGATGGTGATGATGATGAGGGTGTGACGATGATGTCGATGCTGAGGTGGTGGCGATGATGATGCTGATTATGATGATGGTGATGATGATGATGATGATAATGGTGGTGGTGGTGGTTATGGCGATGATGTTGTTGATGATGATGATGACAAATGTAATGAAGATGGTGATGGTGGTGATGCTGGTGGTGGTGGATGGTGATGGTGGTGGTGATGATGATGATGATGATGATGATGATGATGATGATGATGATGATGATGATGATGATGATGATGATGATGGTGGTGATGGTGATGGTGATGGTGGTGGTGGAAATGATGATCATGGTGATGATGGTGATGGTAATAGTGATGGTGATGATGATGTTGATGATGCTGCTGATGATGATTATGATTATGATGATGATTATGTTGACGATGATGATCATTGTGGTGATGGTAGTGATGGTGAGGCGGTGGTGAGGATGAGAGTGAAGATGATGATGGTGGTGAGGATGACGATGACGGTGGTGGTGATGGTGATGGTGACGATTGATGGTGGAGATGACGATGAGGGCGAGAGCGAGTGTAGCACTCAGGGCGAGGGTGAGGGTGAGGGTGACGGTTGCAGTGGCTGCTGGAGTGAGGGCGGGGGTGAGGCCCAGGCGAAGTGCGAGAATGCGAACGATGCCGAGACCGAGGAGGTGGAGTGAGGGTGAAGGCGTTGGCAGAGGATGGTGGTGTCGGGCGTTCTCTGGGCAGAGCGGCGGCGCCAGCTAGGATGAAGGAGGAGGAGCAGGAGGAGGAGGAGGAGGAGGAGGAGGAGGAGGAGGAGGAGGGAGGAGGAGGAGGAGGAGGACGAGGAGGAGGAGGAGGACGAGGAGGACGAGGACGCAGGGGAAGCCCTCGTCGCCGGGTCGCACGCTGCCGCCCCCGGCGCCTCGCGGACCTCCTGACCAGCTGGAGGTCGGCGCAGAGGCCCGGCCGCTCCCGGCGCCCCTCAACGCAGGGGAGCCTGTGCTGGCCGCGGGGCAGGGCTGCACGAGCCAGCCTGCGCCCCCCCCTGGCGGGAGAGCCGCTCTGCGGCGCCGGCTGGCTCCGGAGGGCCCCTCGACGCAGGGCGCCTCGAAAAGTCAGCGCCCTGCACCCCCCAGGGCTGTCCGACGGTCTGCTTTTGTCGGTCCGGGTGCCCTTCCTCGACGTCGACCTTTGGGGCTGGCCATCGGGCCCTGGGGTCATCAACAAACGGATCCGAGGCGGAAACTTGGCCCCAGGGAGGGGGTCGGGACCCTTGGGGCCCATGATCGAACAGAGACGTATCGGCGGATGTCAGTCAGGGACTCCCGCGTCCTCTTGCATCGCGTGCGCGGCCCCCTTTTGGCCTCCAGCCACTGCCCTCGGCAGCGCCAGCTCCACCGCTTTCGTTTTCTTCCCAGCCATCCTGTGGTATCGGGTCCTCGCTTTGAAGAGGCAGCGAGCGCCCCACGTCCCACCTCCTCCTCCTCCTGCTCCTGCTCCTCCTCCTCCTCCTCCTCCTCCTCCTCCTCCTCCTCCTCCTCCTCCTCCCGATGCCCCGCCTCCCTCCTCCCTCCTCCCATCCGTGCCTCTGCCCTTCGCGTGTCTCTGAATCGGCACACCTCACACGCTTCATGGCCCAATAAGGAGCTCCACGTGAGGCCCTCCGCGACCGCCGCGTCGAGAGGAGGGCCCAGACCCCCGACGTCTTGATTTTGCCACGACGTGGAATCCGTGTTCTTTGTTTGTTTGTTTTGTCAAGCCCTCAGCACCAAGCCCGTCTAAGTTGGTTTTCAAGTGATCCTGGGTGGGCATCCAAGGTGGAACTGAAACAAGTGATTTCATAAGCACTTAAGTCTGTACCGCGGGACCCGTGCCTCATCCCGAGTCGGTTTCTGCAGGCCTCGGGGCCCGGCAAGGGGGCCGCAAGGCCGAATCGGGGCTCAAGAGACGGGGGTCAATGCAAACGGGGTCAGTCAGAGCGCCAGATTTTGCAGGATCCTGCAGAGCCAGGGGTGCATTGACCCGGGCTTGCGTGCAGGGTCTTGCAGGATTCTGCAGGATCTTGCAGGATCCTGCAAAGCCCGATTGACCCAGGTTTGGATTGACCCGGGTCAGTAGATTCCACCGAAGGCGGCCGAAAATTTCCCGCCGTGATTTGTTTTACCACGCGAGGCGGTTTTGGGGTTCTAGGTTTCCCAGATGGGGTCAGAGTAGATGGAATCGGACGAACTCGCCGCATCGCCGATGCGTCGGCCATGCGGCTCAATGTGGAGCCCGATTTTCTTCACGCCGACGTCACCGATGAATCGCCGACGTCGCTGATGCATTGCCCATGCTTTCCCCATGCATCGCTGATGCATTGGCGATGCGGCGCGATTCTTCGACCCCATCAACTCGGACCCCATCTGGGAGGCCTCTTGGGGTGCTCACGACCCCCCGCCCCCCGCCCGGGCGCGCAGACGTCCTCCGCCACCGCCGCGACGGCGACGCGGCGCTTCGACTGCGGGTCCGGCGGCTACGACACGGGCCTGTGGAGGCGCGGCTGGTCCGAGGCGGCACGGCGCTCCCCCCCTGTTCGTGGACTCTGGACCCAGACCTCCTCCCCCGAGCGGCGAACGCGCCTGTCCGCGCCCCCGAGCACTTGGATCGGGAGCGGGCGCAACCCCCCAACCCCGGAGCCAGCGCACCGCTCAGCGGCGACTGGTCCTGGAGCCGAGGGGGTGCGCCCGCCGGGGCCTGGAAGGTCCGATGCCCCTCGTTCTCCTCCTCCCTTCCCCTCGTCCTCCGCCTCCCTTCCGAAAAACTCCTCCTCCTCCTCCTCCTCCTCCTCCTCCCTTTCCCTCGTCCCTCCTCCCTTCCCCCCAGCTCCTCCTCCTCCCTTCCGAAAAACTCCTCCTCCTCCCTTTCCCTCGTCCCTCCTCCCTTCCCCCCAGCTCCTCCTCCCCCCCCCCCTCCACCCACCCTCGTCGGGCCGAGAGGTGCGGGCGCCCCTGAGGGGGGCGGCCGGCGCCCCTTGCGCAGTTGCCCGGATGCCCAGGGCCCGCTATCTTGGCATCGCTCGGGCGTTTGCATGCTGTCTTCGGCGAGGACCATCGAGGAGCATCTCGGAACATCTGTCTACAAAAGAAGGCAGGAGACCAAAACGGAATGCAAGGATAATGGGCGTCCGAGCGATGGCAAGTCATCGAGCCCCAAGGCTGTCAAACATGGATCCGGGGTGGGAAACTGGCCGCCGGGGAAAGGGTGGGGACGTCAGGGTCTGCAGATTGAGATTTACCCCAGCAAAGCGCCCGAATAGCAGCAAAGGTGAAGAGACGTGTCGAGGAGGGCAGGAGGACAAGGATGAGGAACAGGAGGAGCAGGGCGACGACGAAAGGGAGGAGAAGGAGGAGACCGCGTCGCACCCGCGACATGTATGGGGGCGGCGTGCACACCTAGGCCTTCCAGGGGCCCCTTGGGGCTTCCCGATGTTCTCTAGAACCCGTATGGGCCCTGTGCAGTCGGGCCGAGGTGTAAGGTCGAGAACGGTTCGGAGAGGGTACCCTGATGTTTTTCGTGTTTGTTTGATGCTCTTGTGCATCCTGGGGAGGGTACCCTTGGATGTTCTGTGTGTTTGGGCCGGCGGAGGGCCTCATGTTCTTGAAGGATGTTTTTATGTCTGAGGTCCGACTGCATCCAATATGGATCCCGGGTGGGAAACTGGCAGCCAATATGAATCCCCGGTGGGAAACTGGCAGCCCAAATGGGATCGGGACGTGTGCGCGCGCGTGTGGAGGTTGTGCGCTGTTTGTTGCAAATGCTACTTGGGACAATGATATTCTGAGATCATCGAGCGCGCGAGCATAACAGTATTCGACAGGGTCTGGCGGTGCAGTAAATGCCGTGCAATATATGTTGCGCAATGAATTGTCTCTGACTCGTTTTCCTAAGTGCGAGTGGCCTCGGGAGTTTCTGAGCAGTGGAGCCGCGTCCGTCTCGTTCGCTGCTCCTGCTGCTGCTCTCTCCCTCTGCTCCGAAACCGCTCCTGCTCAAGCTCTATCAATCGAGGGGCCCCCGGCAGTGCATGGGCGTGCCGTGGGCCGCAGCCGGCCCGTGGGCGGCCTCCATCGCGACTGCGTGGCTCTCGCGCTGCCCCGCCTGCCCAGAGGCCCGCGTGACGTGCGGGGCCTGCCCCGCGTGCCCTGCGGCGGCGGCCGCCGCCCCCTGCCCGGGCTGCCCGAGCTGCCCGGACTGCAGTCTGACCTGCGGGTCCGGGCCAGGCTGGTGGGCGGTCCTGGCCGCCTTGGTCGCCGGGCTCGCGGCTGGTGGCGGCCTCCGCGTGACGCTGGGCTGGGCTGCCCGAGTCGCCTCGCTCTTCGTCGGCGGGACCGACCCGCCGCCTGTGACCCTGCTCGTCGAGGACGACGGAGCTGGCCAAGACGGCGGTGCGCATCGCCGCTTTCGGGCGGTGCGGGCATAGCCTGATCGTCCGCCGTTGGCCAGATGGCGGCGATGCGGACGCTCGACGTGCCCGAGGCGCAGGTGTGCGTGAACTACGACGACGACGACAACTTTCGGTGGCACCACAGGGTGCTCCTCGAGCAGCTCAGCCCTGGCGTCTGGGTGGCGGCGACGCCCGACGGCGAGGTGCTGACGCTGGACCTCAGCAAGCACCTGGTCGTCCCGTTGCGTCGAGGGTCCGCGTTCCCGGTGCGGGTTCGTGGGCAGGTCTATGCGTTCGGCGACCAGTCGGACGAGGACATCGAGGCGCTGCGGGTGGAGGCGCGAGGCCTCGCCCTGGTCATGGGCGTCTCGGCCCCAGCTGGGATTGCTGGGGGCATCGTGCCGCGCTGGATCGTCTCGGACCCAGGCTCGCCCGAGTTTGGGCGCGAGCTGGACCTCCAGCTCATCGGCAACCCGGAGCGGCTGATCAGCCGCGACGCGGTGGGCATCGCGATGCTCAGCGAGGAGGAGGGCTGGGTCTCGGTCGAGAACGTGCAGCAGGCCGACGAGGAGGACTGGCGCGCCGAGAAGCACCAGCCCAGGACGCGACCCGCGGATCCTCCCGCTGGCGCGCCGGGGTCGGGGGGTCCAGGTGACGCTCGGGGAGGCGCTCGCGAAGATGAACGCGGTCGACTTCGACGACTGGCCCTTTCGGGGGCCGAGGGCCCTGCCCGAGCTGCTGGCCGCCATCCTGGCCACCGGGCTGACCCTCACGTCCTACTGGGGGTACTGGGTCTCGGAGTCGGGGGTGTCCCGGAACGCCGCGGTGGCCCAGGAGGTGCGGCACGCGCTGAATCAGCTGCACCACGCCGTGACGTACGACCTCGTGGACCCGTCGAACTTGGCGTCTCTGGAGCTCCTGGGGCGCCGAGTGCTGCAGATCCAGCGTGCTGTGAAGAGGTGCCCGCGCCACCCGAGTTTCGAGGGCCTCGGCTTGATGTTGAGCAGCTCTCTGGACGAGAGCGGAGGCATCGTGACGTCGCGGTTCGACGCGTTCGTGGCCGAGGAGCAGAAGTCGCAGGGCATCATTCTGAAGCAGGGGCGGATGTACCGGGAGGAGCAGGAGTCGGAGGCGAAGAAGTACGAGAGGCAGGGCGACGACAGGGAGAGGGGCTCCAGGGCGGATCCGAAGGGCAAGGCGAAGCCGAAGCCCAAGGCCGCCGCGAAGGATCAGGGCTGACGGCGCCATGTCGGCGCCATCATGGCTGGGCCCTCCGCCCGGCCTCACTGGGCCTGGCCCTGACTCCGCAGCCGCGGATGCGAGTCGGGCCGGGCTGCTCTCCGAGGGGGTCTCCTCCGAGGGTCGGACTTCGTCCACAGTTTTGTTTCCTCTGCCGCAGGGTGACGAGTTCTATCGGCACCCTCATCGCGGAGAACGTGCCGCTCTGCCTAGGTATCTGGCCCAGCGTGCTGCTCGTGCTGACGACCGTGATCGCAGGTCTCTCGAGACTCTGGGCGCGCTCAACGCGCTGGCAGGCGCACGGGCTGGGGGGCGTCTCGAGCCTCGAGCGCCCGGCAAGCATCGGCCGACTACCGCCCAGGAGTCGGTCATCAAGCGAGTCCGACGTCGCATCCGCGGGTTCGGCGACCGGCCGAAGGACATGGACTGTGCTGGAGCCCTTCAGGAGCTCCTCAAGTGCAAGGATCTTTACTCGAACATGGGCGAGGCTTCTACTCGCCGCGACTATGATGCTGACAAGCTCAACGTGTTACGACGTGCGCCACAGGACCGGCCTCGTCAGCTTCGAGACGTTGCCCCTCGGCACGTCACCGAGGCGCTGGACCACTTCGACTCGGACGTCGTTCGCCCCGCGCCGAACATCCCCGAGGACGAGGTCATTGTCGAGCCGTACTGGGGCCCTCTCCTCAACCCGCGGGACCCCCAGAACCGGCCACGTCTGGTCGACTTCCTTCGACGACTCGCTGCACGGGGCCTGGTGGATGGCCGGGCGCGTCGGAAGGCGTGCGTCAGTACCTTCTTCGTCGCCAAGAAGAACGGCGACATCCGCATGGTCGTGGACGCTCGCCAGCCCAACCAGCTGCACAAGCTTCCCCCTCGGACTGTGCTCGCATCGGGCGAGGCGCTGGGCTCGATCAACTTGCTCGACGCCGTCGGCGCGAGCCCTGAGGACTTGGCGGATTTCGACGGCTGCTATGAGTCGCTCTGCGCAGGCTCCGTGGACCTCATGGACGGGTTCTACCAGTTCGCCGACCCTTCGTGGGGCAGCTGGATGTGCTTCGACGTGGAGGTCACCGCTGACGAGCTCGGGATCGACTCGATCTACGACGAGAAGCTCGGGCGCCGCGTGGCCGTATCAGGCGACGACGTCATCTGGCCCTGCTTCGCGGCGCTGCCCATGGGCTGGAGCTGGGCGCTCTGGATCTGCCACGAGGTTCTCGTCGATGCGATGGTCGAGGCGGGCCTCCCGAGCGACGGCTGGTGCCTTGACAAAGCCCGGGCGCCGACTCTCGTCGGACAGGCTGTCGTCAGGGCGCCGTACGTCGACAATGGGAATCTTGCGTCGCTCAGCGCGCCGGCGCTCAACGACCGGCTGGACAAGCTCACCGCTGAACTGGACCGTCGTGGGCTTCGCTGGCACGAGCTCGAGCGCGCGCAGCCCGGCCTTGTCATCTTGGGGCTGGTGCTCGACGGGCGCGAGGGCCGACTTCGGCACACCGCCAAGCGCGCCTGGAGGCTCTACCTGGCTCTGCACCACGTGCTTCGGATACCATGGCTCGCCCGCTGGCAGCTGCGACGGATCGTCGGCCATCTGGTGCACTACTTCTCCGTCGTGCGCCCCGGGCTCAGCGTGCTGGGGGCCTGCTACACGTTCATCGGAGACGGCGACCTGTCCACTGTCGTGCGCTTGCCTGGAGATGTTCTCGGTGAGCTCGCAGTCGCTGCGGGGCTGGTCTTCCTCGGCGAAGTGGACTTGTGCCGCGTGCCGTCCGACATCGCCTTCACGACCGACAGCTCGCTGCGAGGCTACGCCGTCTGCGAAGCCCGGCTGGAGCCCTGGGAGGTGCCGGCGGCCACCAGATGGCGGGAGCGCCAGCGGTTCGTTGCCACCGAGCCCGAGGTTGCGCCTGACGACGAGCAGTACGAAGGACGGGCCGCCGGCTTCTGTGACATCTCCGAGCCACTGCCCGTCGAGCTGCCGCCCCGGCTGCGGCACGCCGCGGCCAAGAGGCGCCGGGTCGAGTTGGAGATCGGCGTCCCGCCCGAGCCGTTGGCGGACGCTCTGCTGGATGCTGGCCGCTGGGTGGAGCGCCGCCGTGGCGCGTGGCGCCGGCCAGGGCGCATCCACGCCCTCGAGGCGCGCGCCGCCGTCGCACCGCTATGGAGAGCGGCAGCCGATGTCAACTTCCACGGGAAGGAGATCCTCAGCCTGTGCGACAACATGTCGTCGGTCCTCGCCTTCGAGAAGGGCAGGGCCACCAATTTTGAGCTCCTGGCACAGTGTCGCCGAGCTGCGGCCGTCTGCTTCGGGTGCGAGATCCGCTGGCGCCCGAGGCACGTGCCTGGCATCTACAACGTCGCGGACCACGGGAGCCGGGCGGCTGACCGGGGGGAGCTCCTCCCCGGACGCTACCGCGGGCGTGGCGCCCTGTCGGCGCCCACCAGCGGCAGCCGCCGAATGCCCGTGGTCCCGCCAGCCGCGGGCAAGGCCGAGGCCTCGCCGACCACGGCTGTCGAGTTTGAGATCGGACGAGAGCAGGCCGAGCTGCTGGGGCCTGAAAACACCGAAAGAGACCGTTGCATTCCTTTACCTTTGTCACCTCAGCCCGTCTCTGACACGGATTCCCTTTCTTCCCAGAGTAGAAGGCATCAAGATGAAGTCTCGAAAGTACTCCCCAACGAGCGACCCCGACAAGATCGACACGAGCATGCTCGAAACCTACCTGTTGCACTCGAGCCTCCTGGAGTTCCTCTACGGGGCCCACATGTACACCTTGGGGCACGCGAAGATCCTCAACAGGACCCTCCTGAGCGCCCTCGGCCTCTTGCGGTTCTACAACGGGGCCCACCTGTACGTCTTGGGCCACACGAAGAGCCTCAACGGTCACTGGCTACGCGCCCTCGGCCTCCCGAAGTTCCTCGACGGGGTCCCCCTCGTAAAGCCTTCCTCGAGATCTTCGCGGGTACTGCAAATCTCAGTGGTGCGATGCATGAGCGAGGTTCCCGGATCATGCCCCCAATGGACTCCAAGTACGGGCCCCACTGTGACCTCACAAGCCGACGTGTCCAGCATCTCGTTGAACATTGGCTCAAATCGGGAGAAGTCTGGTGGGTCCACCTTGGCCTGCCCTGCACGAGGTGGGTGCCAGTCGGGGGCACGCGCGATCCAGCGCCGGCGGACCGCACGCTTGTGGCGTTCACAGTCCGTGTCGTGCGACTCTGCCGGTCCCTGGGGATCTTCGTCACTTTCGAGAACCCGCCTGCGAGCCGTGTCTGGAAGTGGCCCGCGTTGGAGCGAGAGCTGCAGCGCCTTGCCTGGCCGAAGGTGCTGTTCGACTCGTGCAGGTTCGGCGCGCCCTTCAAGAAGCCAGGTGCGATCGCCGGGAGCCTTCCCGGGCTGGGCCATCTTGCACTGCGCTGCTGTTGCGCTTGCCGCCATAGGGTTGAGCTGCAAGGCAAGGTCCGGCATCCGACGCGGGGCTGGACGTGGCGGACGACTCTGGCCGGGGCTTACCTACCCAGCTGGTGCCGCCTGCTGGTCTCGTTGGCCGGCCCAGACGCCCCTCAGAGTGCTTTCGGGCGCTCGACCCAGGATGACCTCCAGGCTCGGGCCCACGCGCTGGCAAGCGCGGCCGGGGTCGCCGAGCTCCGCGGAGTCACGGCGCCGATCTGCCCGCAGCGCTTTCGGCTCCCCTGGAGGCCAGGGTGGGCCACCGCGCTCGACCCGCGCCCGCGCAGCCGCTGACGCGGCCGCTGCACCAGTGCCGGCGCAGCCGCGGTCGCGCTGGCAGCCGCGGACAACGGCTGGCGTCGACGTCCGCGAGGCAGACGTCGATGCAGGCGCCGACTCAGCCGTGCTAACGCCCAGGCGTGCAGGCCGGAGCCAACGTGACCCTGTCCCTCGTCCAGTGGCCGTGGCCGCCCGGCGCCGCCGAGCGCAGGCTGCCGCGCGTGGAGACGTCGCTGCTGGTCAGCGGCAGGCCGCCCCCGGAGAGTACCTCCGCCTGGCCTCGCTGCGGCCAGCCACGGTCGACAGCTACACGTCCGCCGTGACCGAGCTGACCGACTACGCCAACCGCCGGGGCCTGCTGCTGACCACGCCGGAGCTGGCCGACGAGACGCTCAACTTGTACTTCGAAGACTTGTTCTTTGCAGGTGAGCCCCAGTACCTGGCTCGTAACGCGTTGTATGGGCTCTGCAAAGTTCGAGGATGGTCTGCTAGCCGACCTCGCTTCCATAAGGCCAAAGATGCTCTAACTGGTTGGTCGGCAAAACTGCCGACTACGCCGCGAGAGCCGCCGCCGTTCGAAGCCGTCCAGCTGACCTGTGCCGTGCTCGACAACGGGACCACGTCCGACCTACTGGCGTGCCTGGCCTCCGCGACTGGGTTTGACATGTACTTCCGGCCAGGCGAGTTGCTCGCCATCAAACCAGAGCACGTCTTCGGCTCTCGTACGTCGGGCAGGGCTTCTGACATCACCGTCGTCGTGGCACCGCTAGGCGACGACAAGCCAGCCAAGAACAAAGATTTTGACTGTACGGTGAAAGCCGGCACTGACTTGCCAGTTCGCCGAGTCGTTCCCGAGATTCCCTCTAGGCTGCGAGCCCGTGCCAGACGTCAGAAGCTGCCAACTCTGTTCCACCCTCTGTCCCTTCCTCTCTTTGAAAAGACTTTGAAGCAGGCCGCCCACTCAGCAGGAGTTGGTGATCTCCTGTCAGTTCCTCACCAGTTGCGCCACGGAGGGCCCTCGCACGACGCTCTGAACAAAATTCGACCGATCGAGGCCATCCAGCAGCGCGGGCGCTGGCGCGCCCGAGAGAGTGTTCGTATCCATGAAAAGCACGGGTCGGCCCTTCGTCAGAGGTCGAAGCTCACTGAACTGCAGATCTCGTCAGCCGCCCGTTTTACTGACTCGACAGTTCGTGACATCCTCAGGCGCGTGTGCGCCACCTAGTCTTGTCTCTTCGCCCCAGCCTCAGACCTAACAGTGATAATGATTTATACCCACCCGCCCTCCCGAAGGGCATTTGACGATGGGGATGGGACGCAAATGTACTGTGTGTGTGTGTGGCAATTTTTGGTGATTGCACTTAGCCGCTGAAGTTGTACCACTTCCACGGCTCGTGTTTTTAGAGTACCACCGTGTGCCCCACGGCGCTTGCCTGATGAAAAAGGTTGATGACCCCTCGTCTCTCGGTTTAATCTGTGCGCTGTCGCTGTTTCCGCAGACCCCATGGGGTGGCCACGCCCTTATGATAGGAATGAATTGTCTCTGACTCGTTTTCCTAAGTGCGAGTGGCCTCGGGAGTTTCTGAGCAGTGGAGCCGCGTCCGTCTCGTTCGCTGCTCCTGCTGCTGCTCTCTCCCTCTGCTCCGAAACCGCTCCTGCTCAAGCTCCCGCCCACCGTCCCCCACACACCACGCAAATGTACTGTGTGTGTGGCAATTTTGGGTGATTGCACTTAGCCGCTGAAGTTGTACCACTTCCACGGCTCGTGTTTTTAGAGTACCACCGTGTGCCCCACGGCGCTTGCCTGATGAAAAAGGTTGATGACCCCTCGTCTCTCGGTTTAATCTGTGCGCTGTCGCTGTTTCCGCAGACCCCATGGGGTGGCCACGCCCTTATGATAGGAATATATGTTGTGCCAGATATGCGGTGCAATATACGCGTCGCAATCTATGTTGTTCAATAGATGGTGTGCGACGACACTGTGCAATGGATGCGGCGCTATATATGTGGTGCGATCGATGTGCAATACCTGCAGTGTGACCTATGTGGTGCAGTATCGGTTGTGCGCTCGATGTGCTGCAACAGATGTGTTGCGATGATGTATGGTATACAACATACGTGTTGCAAAGTACATTGTGCAAGATGCGTGATGCTATAGATATATATATATGTGTTGTGCATTCGATGTGTTGCAAAGTATGTTGTGCAATCCCTGCGGTGCGAATCATGTGGTGCAACATATGTGGTGTGATGTATGTGGTGCAATATGTGCTGTGCGATCGACGCTGCGAGGCCGCGACGAGGCGGCGACGGGGCGGTGACGGTGACAAGGTAGCCGCCAGACCGACAATCAGGCCCATACGACGGGCGGCGACGAGGCGTCGACGCGGCGGCGACGGCGATAACATAGCCGCCAGACCGACATCCAGGCCCAGTTCCTTAGAAAAGAAGTAAGAACCCCTAAGTGCAAGCACTGTTTGGGGAATGAATAGTGAGGTAGAGCTAGAACCACATGCAAATTGCAATACGAAAAGGGGTCGGTGAACCCCAGGTGTGGAGGGGTGGTAGAGATCATTCTCTGTTTGAAAGGAGAACCGCTGTGGTGCAATCGACACGGCCGCCCCGCGCACGAGGCGGCCAAAGGCGGCAACTTGGCGAACCCCCGGCACGCCCAGCTGGCACCCCACTGACAGCCACGGGCGGCAGCGTGGCGAGACCTTCGGCGCCCGTACAGCACGCAGGCGCGGCCACGAGCAGCAGCGCAGCGAAATCTCGGAGCACCCGCCACGGGGCGCAACTTTGGCACCCACACGCAGCCACCAGGCGAGACCTTCGCAGGCCCACGCAGCGCACGGAGCGCTCACGGGGCGCCCACTGGCGGCCACGGGCGGCACGCGGCGACACCCCGGCACACCCGGGCAGCACACGGGGCGCCCGCGGGCGGCCACGAACGGCGACGTGGCGAAACCTCGGAGCACCCCCGAGGCGGCCACCGGCCACCGGCCACCGACCACGGGGGGAGAAGGAGATGGAGGAGGAGGAGGAGGAGGAGGAGGAGGAGGAGGAGGAAGAGAAGGAGAAGGAGTAGGAGTAGGAGGAGGAGGACGACGACGACGTGGCGAAGCCTCGGCACACCAGTCCAATTACGTGAAAGCCAAGACAGTTCAGAAGTGCCAGCACGACCTGGAGAGCCATCGATTTCTACAGTACTGCCTCTTCGCCCCCGAAGAGCTCGTGCGGCCTGAAGATGGCTTCAAGAGGACCCCAGGGGAGGCCCAGGGGGGGCCCCCCAAACGCCCCGAGCCTGCCCAAATTTGGAGGAAAATGCGACCAAAACCAGTTGCACTTCACGCCGAGACACCCCCAAGAGACCGCCAGAGGCCCCCAAGACGCCCCAAAAAAGGCTCCCGAAGACGAGACTCGAACGAGAGCCCCAAGAGGACTCCAAGGGATGCTCTGGAGACCTCCAAGAGATCCCCAGCGGGCATTCGAGAGACTCCCCAAGATATTTCAAGAGGCACCCACAAGGTTTCAACTCGAGAACAACTCTTTTCGCGGGGCCAGGCGAGGGGGGGAACCTTCCGGCGCGAGGTAGGGGGAGGGGAAAGCCCTTCCCCGAAAAGGAAAAAGGAGATTGGGAGGTGTGTCTTTCTTCTTTCTGCACTCATCTACCAAAGCTCTGATGTAGCTCTCTACCTTGCTCTGTCGACTCCACCTGAGAATCCAGGAACCTGGAAGTGGGATCCGGGGAACCAGGAACATGCAAACTCGGCCCTGCCGAAATTGGCGACCTAAGTGAACCGATTATTTTCAGTATTAGCGAGCACTCCTTGAGAGTAAGCACTGATAGGGAAAATAGGCCAGCCCATCCTCCTCCCCTGTTACCCAAAATTACGTTGTTCCTCATCTTTTTCAGTAGTCATCTTAGATTTTGGCTGCAGCGAACGTTGACACTCATACACTTATTTCGTATTCGCTGTTGCTTCAGCTGTCTTTGCTTCGAACATGTTCCGCGTCCTGTCCATCTCAGCCGCCGTTGTTGCAAGTGGTCTGCAAGCCTCACCAGAACCTACGCTACTGGTGGATCACTCGAACCTTGCATCGACATCTCGCCTTGGAGCTGGAGTAGTGAAAGCAGGGTCCTCATCAGAATTGGATCCTGAGTTCACGAACACGCTCAACGAGAAGTTCCACGTGGCTTGGCCCGGAGAGTTCAATTTGATCGGAATGCCAAAGGATGCGGACATAGTGTCGCCCAGCAGTGCTCTCTTGGTGGTTAATGCTACGCTTGAAGACGTCGGCCTGAAAGACTGCGACGATCTCCTCATCCGCAAGGTCACCGTCTTCGGCACGAAGCTCGGCAGCGTCAGCTCTCTGGAGTTCACTATCGGCAGCGACGATTTCAACACCACCGATGCACTGGGCCTGAAGATCGACGGCGTCTCCAAGACTGTGACGGAATTCCTCGCAGAAATGCCGACGTGCACATTCACCCGTCCTCGAGTAGTCGCGCTTCCCACCAAGAACAGTTTCCGCAAACGTTCGGCGATGTACAGCGCAATTTGCAACATCGGTGATGTCCCGAATACCCTCACTCTGACCTGGTCTTCGGTGTGGCGTAAAAACTATGGCGATGTGTACTACCAGAACGACCTGGAGGTGTTCGTCTCGGGGGTCGGAAGCGATCCCGCAGGGCTCCTGGGACCGGATGACCACTCGTGGACGCAGCAGATTCACAGCGCTTGTACGAGGTAGTTGTTGCGAAAGGGATGTCAGGCCTTGCGCAGCCAACTATCGCAACCAGCTCACAAGGGACGCCCGCGAAAGTAAGTTCTCCTCTTCCTCACCCTATTGTTCCTCATCCTCTCTTTTGTCGCCTCGACGAGGAGGGCGAGAAGGGGGAGGGGAAGGGTAAGGCTGGAAGAGAGGGAGGAGGAGGAGGAGGAGGAGGAGGAGGAGGAGGAGGAATCGCAGGATGAGAGAAGAAAGAGCGGGAGAGTGATGGGGGGCAGGGAGGAGGAGGAGGAGGAGGAGGAGGAGGAGGAGAAAGAGAAAGAGGACGAGGACGAGGAGGGGGACGAGGAGGAGGAGAAGGAGGAGGAGGACGAGGAGGAGAAGGAGAAGGCGAGGAGGAGCGGGCAGAATGTTTCAGATCGCGGAGCCAAGCGTGGGTCGAGGGCGAGGGGCGTGCCGCGCCGGGGAGGCGAAGAAGAAGTGGTGCTGCGAGAACTACGAGGCCTCGGCAAGGAGGAGGAGGAGGAGGAGGAGAAGAGCAGGACGAGAGGAGGAAGAGCAGCAGGAGGAGCATGACAGGAGCGGCAGGAGGAGCATGAGGAGGACGACAAGGAGCAGGAGGAGGACGAGGACGAGGAGGAAGGAGAAGGCTTGTGAACGCCTGGATTGGTTCGCGGGTACAATTGCATGGTAGCAGGGAGGAGCAGGGACGAGGAGGAGGAGGAGAGTCAGGTCGGATCGGATCGGCCGCCCTCGGAAGTGCCCGTCACGCGAGAAGCTGACTAGGGGGGTGCGGCACCCGTTTTCAAGTATCTGTTGGTCGTGATATGCTATTTGTCCGTCTCCTGTTCGTCCTCCTTCGCTTTGCCCTCTCCCTCGTGGCTTCCTCTCCGCTCGCTTGCAGACCGGGCATTTTTATGTTAGGTGTAAGTGTGACCAACCGCATGTCAGACCGAACCGCAGTACCAAGCTGTGACGGCGGTTGCACCGAACAAAAAAAAAACTATGTGTCCGCTTCCTGTTTATCTCTCATCACCTCTCGGTTTTTTTCTTACCGCCCCCCTGGCGCTGGCCAGGAGGAGGGGTCGAGGGCGCCAGCAGCAGCAGCAGAGTCGTCAGAAGCTCGAAGCTCTAAGGAGGAGGAACATGAGGAGAAGGAGGAGGAGGAGGAGGAAAAGGGGACGAGGAGGAGGAGGAAAAGACCCGGCCAACCAGGAAGGGACAGAGGTAGGCCAGCACGCAAGGGCAGGGGGGCGAGAACGACGTCCCTGCCCACCACGAGGGCACCGCACCGCACGTCGGCAAGTCACCAGGGCCAGGTTTGTTCCGCGAGAGCAGAGCGGCGCCAGGAAAACCATTTGTCCGCGGGGGCCAGGGGGCGGACAGGAGGAGGAGGAGGAGGAGGAGGAGGAGGAGGAGGAGAGGAGGAGGAGGAGGAGGAGGAGGAGGAGGAGGAGGAGGAGGAGGAGGAGAGGAGGAGGAGGGAGGAGGAGAGGATAGGAGGGAGGATAGGGAGGATAGGGAGGAGGATAGGAAGGAGGAGGAGAGGGAGCAGGAGAAGGAAGAAGGAGGATGGAGGAGGAGGAGGAGGAGGAGGAGGAGGAAGAGGTGGAGGAGGAGTCGGAGGAGGTGGAGGAGGAGGTGGAGGCGGAGGAGAAGGAGGAGAAGGAGAGGGAGGATGCAGGAAGAGCAAGAGGAGGAGGAAAGGGGAGAAGGAGGAGGAAGGAGGGAGGGAGGGTGGAGGGAGGAAGGAGAAAGTATAAGGAGGAGAAGTATAAGGATGAGAAGGAGAAGGAGGAGGAGGAGGTGGAGGAGGAGGAGGAGGGACATTCAATCCTCTCGCTTCGCGGGGTGAAGGTCTGCTGTGCGTACATACGTACGTCAGTTCAGGGCGTTGGCTGGTTCGCGCTGCTCGTCTGCCGTACTGGTCTGCTGTGCCGCTCTGCCGTCTTGGATGCTTCTTGCGGGCGGTTGGGGAAGATCCTGGTGATTTCTCGGGGCCTCGTAGGAATCCTGTCGGGCCCTGGTTGAGCTACCTTTGAGGGAGCGGTGCTCAAGGCCAGTTTCCATATCTTGGGCCCCTCCTGAGAGGCCCTCTTTGTGGGCCTCTTGGCCAGGCGTGGGGCAACAATGGTGGCTTTGAATGCCGTCTGGGGCGTCCTGAAGCTCGGGATGGCGAGAAAATTACCAAACCAAAACTATTAGCCTGGCGAGGGACACAAACATATGCAGCTGTGAGTACCGCAGTGCACGAAACATGCGAGGGGTGTGCCAAAATGGGGCGGCGCCGCTGTGCGAACCCTGCCACTGGCGCCTTCAGTGGAGCTCCCGATAGGGCCACTGAACGTGCAAGGAGTGTGCCAAATCCGGCGGCGCCGCCATGCGGACCCTGCCACGCGTGGAGATCCCTATGTGGCCACGAAACGTGCGAGGGGTGTGCCAAAATGGGGCGGCGCCACCATGCGAACCTTGCCACTGGGACCTTCGGTGGAGCTCCATATGGGGCCACAAAACGTGCAAGGGGTGTGCCAGAATGGGGCGGCGCCGCCATGCGAAGCCTGCCATTGGGGCCTTCGGTGGAGCTCACCCGAGAACCACGAAACGTGTGAGTGGTGGGCCAAAATGGGGCGGCGCCGCCACGCGAACTGTGCCACTGGGGCCTTCGGTTGAGATCCCTGTGGGGCCACGAAACGTGCGAGGGGTGTGCCACAATGGGGCGGCGCCACCATGCGAACCCTGCCACTGGGGCCTTCGGTGGAGCTCCCTATGGAGCCACGAACCGTGTAAGGACATGCGGAGGGCAGAGGCAGGGATGGGAGGAGGGAGGAGGGGGAGGAGGATGAGGAGAGGAGGAACGCGGAGCGCTGTCCCTTCAAAACGAGGACCCAACACCACAGGATGGTTGGGAAAAAGAGTTCCCCCGGCGAAAGACCCAGCCATCTGCAAGTGTGAGTACCGCGTTGTGGGTACCGACCGCTTTCGGTAGAGCCCCCTTCGGGGCCACGAAACGTGTGAGGGCGTGCCAAACTGGGCGCGGTCTGGGGCCTCCGGTCGAGCCCCCTTGTGGGGCCACGGAACGTGCGATGCTGAAACCGGCGCGGTGGTGCCATGCGGGCGGTGCCGTTGGAGCCTTCGGTGCGGCCCTCTAAGGGGCAATGAGGATGGGCGCGATGGTGCCATGCGAGCGCAGCCACCAGAGGACCCCTTCCACGACCCAGGAGGCCCCTGGAAAGGGCCCGAAACGCCCCCAGGTGAGCCCCAGGAGCGGCCACACAGACGCCGACTCCGCCAGCCAAGCTCAAAGAGGCCCCCGAGAGGCCCCGAAGGGGGGCCCCAGCTGCCCCCGTAAGAGGGCCCCATGACGGCCCCCAGGGGGCAACTGACGGCCCAAGAGGCACCCGAAGAGAGCACCAATACGGCCCTGGATGCCCCCTAGGAGACCCCACAGTTCTGCCAAGTATCTCTCTTCTCCTCGCAGAACCGCGCCTCCACTGCCTGTTCACATCGCATTTTGCTGTAATGAATTGGTGCGTAGCTTTGCTGCACGAGCTGTGAAGGGCCGAGTGGCACGCACCCGCAAACAGCAGGGAGCATCATGTTCGCTCGCACTGCAAACATTGCCTGCTGCGAGTTGCGTCTCCATGCTGCGAGGCGCGTAGCTTTGTAGAAGAGTGAGGTGGCAGTGGGATGCGCCCGCATGTAGCGGGGGGACATGATGTTCGCACTGCAGACATTGTTTGGTGCGCTGCATGTCTCTATGCTACGAGGCGCGTGGCTTAGCCGATTTGTGAGTGGACAGCGGGATGCACCCGCCCATAGTTGGGGTTTCCACATCCATTACTGCGTTGGATGGCAACGCGTGATTATCCCCCCCCCCCCCGCTCAAAAGCAGGCCTTACCCGGGCCCAAAACGGCGCTAGCTTTTCTTAAGATGGCCTCAAGGCAGCTCGAGAGGGCCAGAAGATGCCTCCAAGATGGTCCAAGGGGGTCCCACAAGGATATCCAGACGAGCAACTTAAGTCAAACCATGCGAACACCTTATTTGTAACACTCGTAAGATCCCTTTCGGCTAAAGATGAATCCAAGAGGGCTACGGGGGAGTCAGAGGCACCCGAAAGGACCCGAGATGGTCCCAAGAAAGCCCCACGGCGGACGAGGATAGCCCAAAGACGCCCCAAAAAAGGACCCAAGGGAGCTTTCGCAGGGGCCCAAGAAGGGCCAAGAGGGCCCCAAGATGCCCAAGACGGTTTCAAGATTGCCCGAAGAGGATTTTTGGAGGACTTTCCCGAGGCTCGCATTAAGCTCGGCGCGAAGTTTTCGAAGCAACAAAATATTTGCAGACGCTATGTTCTAAGCTGCGTGGAGCGAAACGTGATTATGCCCCGTCGCTAGACAAAGCTTCGGGACACAAGAGCTTACAGAGCTGATGACGCCAATCAGACCAGCCAGCCACCTGCGGGGCCATGAGACGTGATCGGTGTCCCCAAATGGTTGGAGGGACGCTATGCGGCATCTTGCCAGTGAGGCCTTCGGTGGAGCGAAGACGCTGGCCCCCCACGAATAAAACACGCGCGAGGAACTCTACGAGGTTCCAGGCGGTTTCCAGGTTGACGGCTCACCGCTTGCATCCAGCTGCTTTAGATTGATGTTGATGGGATGGCCGCGCACCCAAACTAGCGGTGGAAATTGCCAAGGAGACGCCCAGGACGGCGCGAGCATTGGGAGGGTAATGAGCAAGTTTTCAAATTCTGTTTCACCGGTTTGTAATAAGATAAGGTGCCTCCTTCATGTCCCCCTGTCGTTACGAAGTTCGTGAAAGGCCATCAGGATGCTCGTGTGCGGCTCTTCGGTGCCCTTCCATAGGGTCTTTGCTGCATGGAGATAGCTCCGCGGGCCAAGTGGCCAAATGGGCAGCCATTCGTGGGGCTGGCCAGTTGACAGCGAGGCCTCGCTGGCAAACGTGCAGGCCCGGCCAAGACGGGGGGGCCGCTAGCGCATCCGACAGTGGGGCCCTATTGTCAAATACTCCAGATTTCGAAATAAAGGGAGGGGGGTCTCATTTCGGGGGGGGTCTCTTCCAGGCTATCTTGGAGGGCCTGGGGGTGTCTGGGGACGGTGTTTTGGAGGGTTCTCCCACGGGGGGGGTCTGAAATGGCTTGTCTTGGAGGGTCCAGACCCCCTCCCTTTTATTACGAAGTCTGGAGTAGCCTGCTTGGGGGCCAGGTGTGGACTGGCAAAGAGGTCCGATTATCGATTTGTCAGCGGGGGCCAACTGTCACGTGGGCCACCGGGGGGGGGCAGGCGGCAGGCCGAGGCGCGGGAGTTGAGCTCCGACTGCTTATTTGGCAGTGTGGAACCACCTTGTCCAATTGGCAATCGGGGTGGGGGGGAGGAGGAAGAGGAGGAGGAGGAGGAGGAGGAGGAGGAGGAGGAGGAGGAGGAGGAGGAGGAGGAGGAGGAGGAGGTGGAGGAGGAGGAGGAGGAGGAGGAGGAGGAGGAAGGAATGGAGCTCTGATTGCCCGCTTGACAGCGGGGGGCTACAGTCCAATGGGCAGTCGAGGCGGGGGAATGGAGCTCCGATCGCTCGATCGCCCATTGGCACATGGATCATCGGGGTACCCGATTGCCCATTTAATAGTGGGATCCCCACTGTCCAACGGGTAATCTGAAGGGAAGTCTCGCCGAATTCCCAATTGACAGCGGGGATCCACTTGCCAAGCGTGCAAAGTTCGCTCAGCACTTTGCGCGGCAATTTTGGTCCCCCTTCTCGGGGGGATTAAACTGGGGGAAGAATCTCACACGCCTTGAGGACACCAGAGGTGTCGGCGGACTGCGCGACTGCCCCAGAGCCCGCTGCTATCCCGCACAAGGCCCGGCACGTCCACGCGCCAAGTGCGACCTACGTTCGCAGCACTTCTCCTGTGATAAATTTGGGCTTGAGGATTCGACTGCGGAGTCGGCTAGAACCTAATCGCGCGCGTAGCGCTCGCGTAGTTCTAGTTGGGTATATCCGTCTCGCAGGGGAGAGTATTGATCGGAGTGACCCGGCCTCCCCCACGGGACATCGGGTAACCCCGCCTTACTGGTGGCGGGGGGGCGGGGACGCGCAGAGTTGCCCGGCGTCCTCCAGGGAACGTCGGGTAACTTCGTCTTGCAGGGGGGGGGGGAGATCGGAGTTTTTTGGCGTCCGGAGGGGGCTATCCGGTAATTCCGCCTTGCAGGGAGGGGTGCTGATCGGAGACAACCGGTGTCCCCTGGGGGTGGGATCTCGTCCTCCCCCACCTCTGTGTCATCCTGCTCGTCATTATCAGACTTCTTCTTCTGCTGCCCGTCCTCCTCATTCTCATCGAGCCTTCTAGATCCCCCGCGATCCTCCAACTCCTCCTCCACCTCCCCCTCCTCCTTCTCCTCCTCCACCTCCTCGTCCGCGTTCTCCCCATCCGTCTAATCCTAATACTCATCCCCTGTCCTCCCTTCCTTTTCGGCTCTCAACTACTACGGATACTGCGATTACTTACCACGCCCTGATTTTGCAGTTGGTGCAGTTGCTACAATGGCTAGGACGGTGGACGAACGCGAAGAAGACCTGAGAGGGCCCAAGGGGCCCAGGGGAACCCCCAGAGCCAACCAAAGTGGAGCATCTGAAACGGCCGTTTCAGATGCTCCGCTCTGCCTCGATCTCGAGTTTCCTCTCGGGGCACTCTTGGATCCGTTGTGACATGCCAAGGAGGCCCAGAACCATCCGAAGTGGAGCACCTTAAACGGCGGGCTCAAATGTTTCACGCTGGTTCGCTCTCAGCGCCGGTCGGGGCCCCTCTCAGGACCCTCTCTCTTTCTCTCCTCTTCCTCCTCGCTGGCGACGATCGGGACGGGAACGACGACGACGGCGGAGGCGACCCCACGACCACGACCACGACGACGACGACGACGACGACGACGACGACGACGACGACGACGAGGACGACGAGGACCAGGGGCAGGCCTGCCGCCGCGGCGGCCCTGCACGGCCTGCCCTCCGCCAGGCGCCCCTGGACTGCGAGGACGTCCTGCTGGGCGCCCAGTCCGCGGCCGAGGAGGGGGGGGCTTTTTTTGTTGGGAGGTCCTCGCTGCTTCTCGGAGATCTCCACGCCTCGGGATGCGACGACGACGACGACGACGACGACGACGACGACGACGACGACGACGACGACGACGACGGCGGCGACAGCGACGGTGGCGACGGCGGCGGCGCGGCTGCGGGGACGCCGTCGACGGCGGCGGGGTCCCGCAGCCGCGCCTCGCCAGATCGCCGCCGTCGTCGTCACCGCCGCCGTCCTCGCCATCGCCGTCGTCGTCGTCGCTGTCGTCGCCGTCGCCGTCGTCTTCGCCGTCGGTCTTCGTCGCCTCTGGCGTCGGGGCCCAGCTCGCCCCGAGCGGCTCCCGGGAGGCCCGAGTTCCGGCCGCCCGGGAGCCGCTCGGAGACCGCCCGAGGCCCCCCAGAGTTCCAACGAAGTTCGGGGGCGGCCAAGAGGGGGCTGATGACGAGGGGGGGGGATATCATGGCGGGGGCCATGATACCTCCCCAGATTTGATGGCGCCTCTTCTTGTTTCGCTACGCCCCCGACCCCCCCTGGGCCGCGCACATGCCGCCGGCCATGATTTGCGCCCCCCCCCCTCTTGGACGCCCACCCTCCTGGCCGCCCCCGAGAAGTGGGAAATCGAGCGGAGGTTTTTCGAAATGCTCCGCCTCCAGTAGCGGAGGGTGGGGGTGGCAGTTCCGGTCGGGGGTCCCAGGAGCGTGCGGGGACAGACCGTGAGGTGACTCCGAAAGCCCCAGAAGATCTCACCACACGGTCCGTCCCCGCACGGCGTTGGGGCTTCGGGGGCCCCGGTCATCCAAGACATTCTCGGAGAACGACCGAAGCCCCAAGATCGTGCGGCTACCCCGAATCCCTAGTCACCGCACCGTTTGGTGGCTCGAGATTCGGCCTCCGATGCCATCAGAAAAAGATCCGCGGGATGGAAAAACTTGAAGCGGGCGAGGGTTCGGGGGCGCACGTAGAGAAAGAGCAAGACGTCGCAAGTTTGGGAAAGAAGAGTGAAAAGAGAGGAATTTGAGGTGCCTCGCGTTTGTTGGGCCTCAGGGGAAACAAGCTTCACCGAAGCGCCCACATGCGTACCCCCGCCTATCTCAGCGTAAGGAGCTCCTCTGAAGGCCCCAGTGGCAACGCCCGCACGCGTTTTTCCGCCCAGCTCGGCACACCCGTCACACGTATCTTGACCCCCAAAGGGAGCTCCACCGAAGGCCAGCGCCCTCCTGCGTCCCCCCTCCCATGTCGGCAAACCCTTCACACGTTTCGTGGCCCACAGGGTGTTCCACCGAAGGCCCCAGTAGCAGCGCTCGCTTGCGACCCCCTACCCACTTTAGCACACACACACACACACACCGCACGCTTGGTGACCCCATGAGGAGCTCCTCTGAAGGCCCTAGTGGCAGAGCCTGCATGCGCCCCCTCTTCCATTTCGGCACACCCACACACGTTCCGTGGCCCCACAGGGAGCTCCACCGAAAGCCCCAGTGGCAACGCCCGCATGCGCCCCCCCTGCCATGTCGGCACACACACACACACACACACACACACGCACACACACACACACACACACACACACCTCGCACGCTTCGTGGTCCAAAGGGGAACTTCCCCTCCCTCTCCCGACCTGCCTTGCGATATCCAAGCCTGGACACGATTGTGTCCTTCGCCAGGCCAGTCATTCTTCAGAAGGGAGGGCTCGGCGACAGCAACGACCCTATTAAGACACTCTGTTTTTCACTGATCGCGGTGCCGCTCAGCACGCACACCCCCAAGCTGACAACGCCAGACCTCTTCGTCTACCGGCGTATTCCATTTGGGGGGCACCTTTGTTGCGCGAGCTGCTGGGCACAGCTCGACGGGGCAAGAGCGGCAGACCGGGCGGGCGGGCGGACCCGCACGGGCGGGCGGACCCTCCCGAGGGGGCCGGGCCAGCGGACCCCGGCGGGGCGGGCGGGCGGGCCCCCACGGGCGGGCAGGGCGAGCGGCACCCTGAGCCGGGTTGGCGGGCTTCCGGAGGAGGAGGAGGGGGAGGAGGGGGAGGAGGAGGAAGAGGAGGAGGAGGAGGAGGAGGAGGAGGAGGAGGAGGAGGAGGAGGAGGAGGGAGGAGGAGGAGGAGGAGGGGAGGAGGAGGAGGAGGAGGAGGAGGAGGAGGAGGAGGAGGAGGAGGAGGAGGAGGAGGAGGAGGAAGCAAGCTTCACGGGCGGACCCGAACAGGCGGGTCCGGCAGGCGGGGCCTCCGCAGAGTGGCCGAGCTGGGCCGGCAGAGCTTCGCGGGCGGGTCGGCGGGCATGGCGTGCAGGCGGGCGGTCGGGCGTCCAAGCGAACGAGCGGGCAGAGCTGACGGGCGGGTCGGGCGGGGACGGGCCCCACGTGCGGGTCGGGCGGGCGCGGGCTGGGCGGGTGGCACATGGATGCGCGAGTTCTGAGCAGGTCATGTCGGGGGTGGACAGACCTCCTACCCTGACACGTCGATTAGCGAATTGGCCGTTTTCGGTTCGCGAGAGGGCGTCGCGGCCGTAATTTTTGCGGGTCCAGGTCTGTCGGTTTCGGTCCCAGGCCGTTTTCACTAAGGGCAGGTTTACTAAAAGGAGGTTTGCCCACCGCCGATCATAGGGGAAGTCCCAGGCGAGAGCGCGAGGCCTGAGTGAAACGAGAGGAAGTCAGCGGCGGAAGCGTGGGTTTTGATCGGCGGGGGCGCGATTTTTGAGTGAAGTGTACAGAGAGGTCCTGGGCGAGGGCGCGGTTCCAGAGCGGCGAGAGCGCGAGTCTTCAACGGAGTCGTGCGAGGCCTCAGGCGAGAGCGCGATTCTCTGGCAAGTTGCCAGGAGGTCTCGGGCGAGAGTTCGATTCCGAATGAACTGGGAGGACGTCTCAGGCGGGAGCCGCTTTTGCTGCAGTCAGGGCAGCATCTTTGGCATCAAGACAAGGTCCGAGTGTCGAGGGATGGGTACTTCATTTGAAAACACGATGGGCACTGGTTTGGGGGGTCAACAGCTGCTACTTTTCAGAACGTGAGCCCGACAGCATCAACCAAACAAACAAACAAAAACACTTCGGAGATCGGATCGAATCCAGTTTCAGGAAAGTTGGGAAGTAAGGCGGAGAGGAATATCAATCAGGAGCCAGAAGGTTACCAAGGAGCTGTTGCGCGGTGCGAGTTCACAAAGCGTTCGGACCGCTCAAAACAACAGCGCAGGGAAACAGGAAAAAGTGGCCTGAGCCAGCTGTTCCATGTTTGTCCAGCCCCGACCGGCTGCCATTCATGCTTCTCCAGCCTTGGCCAGTATACCTCGATTGCTTTCGGATTCGGTGTCCGTTTGGCGTCGGCCAGTTTTCCAGCCCAGGCCTCTTCCTGCATTTTGGAAGAAGCGAGGGTGACATGTTCCAGCTTCCAGCTTCCCTGCAAAACCAGCAATGGCTCTAGTGATGCGACGTGTTCGCAACGCACGTGCAAATATGATTTCCCAATTGATATAGTTGCATGTATTTGATTTGCGCCACAGGGGGCTGACGATGCAACACCGGGCTCTGTGACAACGACAGCTTCGACCACAACGGAGACGACAAGCTTAGCGCAGGTCTCTGCGGCATGACTTTGATTCTGTTCTGCAATGCACTGCTCGATAAACGCAGGTGCGGATTGGCATTCAACGCGCCTGGCGCCGAGAGTACATGACCCTTCGATTGGCGGTTCCGCACGAATCTGTGCTTTACGCAAGGGCGTGCTTCACACAAAGTGTTGAGGGCCCCATGCCAGCACACTCCTAACACGCTTCGTGGCCGTATAGGGAGCACCGAAGGCCCCAGTGGCAAGGTCCGCATGGTGCCCCGCTCCATTTCTTCACACCCCTCACAGGTTTCGCGGCCCCAAGGGGAGCGCCACTGAAGGCCCCAGGTGCTGGGTCAGCATGGCGCCCCGCCCCATTTCCAGGCACACCTCACACACTTCGCGGCCACATCTCAGGAGCTCCACCAAAGGCCTCAGTGGCAGGGTCCGTGCTGTGACTCGCCACATTTCGGCGCACCCATCACACACTTCGTGGCCCCATAGCTTCACCGAAGGCCCCCGCGGCTGCGTTCGCACAGAGCCCCGCACAATTTCGGCACACCCTGCGCACATTTCGTGGGGTCGGAATTGCCATTGAAGGCCCCAGTTGCTGGGTCCGCATAGCGCCCCGCCCCATGTCGGCGCACGTTTCGGAGTGCGTCCATGTGTATTTACCGGCCCTGCTTGTAGCCGCCCTGTGTTTAGAAAGGGTTGGTTTACTCGCCAGGTTAATTGTTGACTGCGTCTAGTACCTGCCGCGACGGCCCACCAGGAGGTCCGAGCAGGGCAATCACCTTGACGCTGTGCCCAACCCTTGCGTAACGCATGGCCAGAATAGCTGGGCTGACTTTATAGGGGGTGATTCCGTGGCAATGAGGTATACTTTCTGCGAACAGTATTTGGGAGGCTCGCGAGGCGCGCGACTCGCAGGACACCGATTAATGGACAAGGGCTACTTCCCTGGGTCGATGAGAAAGAGGGGCAGGACTAAGAGGGGAAGGTGGACAGGAAGTTTGAAACGTAAGCGGGACAGCAGCAAGAGGACATGGCAGCAGCATGAGAATGATGACAAAAAACGGTCAGAGGAAGGATAGAGATGATGCTTCGATGTATGCCAGCAATCAGCCTTCGAAAGTGGCGACAGTGTTGCAATTCGCGCCAACCCAGGGATAGAAAATTTGTATCTTAATTTGTACCCCCACATTGCTGGGCCCCCAGCAGCCCTCGAAAGTGGCGAAAGTTTCGCAGATCGCAGCTTCCCAGGAATGGCGCGGTCTAACCTGGAGCCCCAGCAACCTTCGAAAATGGCGATAGCTTCGAAATTCGCAGCCCCCCAGAGATGGCGAGATCGCGCTCTTATCTGCGTAGCTCCGCACTGAGGTGGGCCGCCAGCAGCCCTCGAAATGAGCGACACTTTCGAAGATCGCAGCCCCCCAAAGATGGCGAGGTCTAATCGAAGGATGGATATGGCGACACCGTGCTGGCCCCCCCCGCAGCCCTCGAGAGGAGCGATGGCGAGGTCTCATATGGGCTTGGGTATGGCGGCACTGCGCGGGCCCTCCCAGCAGCCTTCGACCGTGGCGACGGTCTTGCAGATCGCAGACCCCCAAGGATGGCGAGGTCTAGTCCGAGTCTGGGTACGGCGACACTGTGCTGCCTCCCCCGCAGCCCTCGAAAGTGGCGACACTTTCACAGATCGCAGCCCCGAGGGATGGCGAGGTCTCATCTGGGCCCGGGTATGGCGACGCTGTGCTGTCTCCCCCCCCCAACAGCCTTAGAAACTGGCGGCAGACTCACAGGTCGCAGCCCCTCAGGGATGGCGAGACCTCATGGCGACGCTACGCTGCCCTCCACAGCAGCCCTCGACCGTGGCGACAGTCTCGCAGATCGCAGGTCCCCAGGGATGGCGAAGTCGAATCTTAATTTGCGTATGGCGACACAGAGCTGCCCCCCCCCTCAACAGCCTTCGAAAATGGCGACAGCTTCGCTGATCGCAGCCCCCCAGGGATGGAGAGGTCGAATCTGGGCCTGGGTGTGGCGACGCTGTGCTGTCCCCCCCCCCCCAGCAGCCTTCGAAAGTGGCGACAGTGTCGCAGATCGCTGCCCCCCAGGGGTGGCGAGGTGGAACCTGCGTCTGGGTATGGCCCCTGCGTCTGGGTATGGCCAAACTGCGCGGCCCCCCCAGCACCCCTCGAAATAGGCGACATGTTCGCAGATCGCATGCCCCCAGGGATGGCGAGGTCTAGTCCGAGTCGGGGTATGGCGACATTGTGTTACCCCCAGCAGCCTTCGAAAGGAGCCACGCTTTTGCAGATCGCACCCCCCCCCTGGACGGCGAGGTCGGACGCAAGTACGAGAAAGGTACGAGACAAGAGGGATAGAGAGAGGAGGAGTTTGAGGAGAAGGAGGAGGAGGAGGAGGAGGAGGAGGGAGGAGGCGGGAAGGAGGAGGGACGCGACCACAATGCTTTATTATTATTATATCTATATACACATACATACATGGAGGGTTGGGAAAAACGAAGTAACATCCTCCGCCCTTCCGCTCTTCCTCCTTTTTCATCGTCCTGTTCCATAAATTGTCCTTCTAATAAGTAAGTATTCCCTGTCGTACCCCAGGGCGGGCCGGACATTTCGCTTAAGACGTCCTAGCTTCTTCGGATATTGAAGCGTGGAGTTTGCAACAAATTCAAAAAATAGAGGGCGGTTTGTTTTCAAAATGTTGCTCTCGCCCTTGCGCTGCACACGTTCGTATAACAATATTCCTACCGTTTCTACCATGGAGGGCCGCCAGTTGTCAAAAGGTTGTTCTTGCTCTGGCGCCGCGCACATTCGTTCTCAAAGATTGCAACAGCCGCAAGGATGGAGGGCGGGTGGTTCTCAAAATGTGGTTCCCGCATTGGCGCCGCGCGCATTACAGTTCGCAGCAGTTTCACGGAGAGGGGGCGGTTCCTTTTTTTCAAAATGTGGTTATCGCTCTGGCGCCGCGCACACTCGTTTTCAAAGTTTGCAATCGTATGGCTGAAGTCCCAGGCTTGTCAGGTCGTACCAGTATCGTTGATTCGCGGTGTTGACGTCTCAAGAATGGCGTTCCGTTTCGATTTCGATTTGTCAAGACGCAACCGTCACCTTGGTTCGCAGCGCTAGACTCCCAGTAATTGCACGATCTAGGATATGTCAGGACTCAACAGTCACGTTAATTCGCTGCGTTGACGTCACAGCAACGAATTGCACGATTGGGGAGTCTCAGACGGTTGCTTTCCGATGGGGCACCTCCAGCCATGGAAATAAATTCTCGTAGGGGTTCATGAAGAGTGAACGTGGAAGGAAGGTTGATTGCAACATCGTTGATGCGTCTTGGGTTTCCACCGGTTCTTCTCCTCCTCCTCCTCTCTTTTACGTTGGGCAAATCCTGGCACCCGAACCGTAGCCTCAGGCACATTTTCCGTCTCCTCATCTCGCCCTTCCCCTCCTCTCCCCATCCTGTCCTCGCCCGCACCCCTCCTTTGAAGGTCCAGGAGAGGTACGACTGCAGAGAGGGCTACGCCAAGTGGGAGACTGGGTGGTCCGACTCGAAGAAAGATTGGTGTTGCCGGCTAAGGAGCGCGAGCGACGCCTAGGAGGAGGAGGTGGAAGACGAGAGGAGGACGACGCATAAGGAGGCCACGACCCCTGCCGTACAATTGCGCTGCCGCGACAATCCGCCACCGTTTTCGGGCCAGCGCTCGTGGAAGGAAGTGGGTTCGGGGGGGCGCCCAGGGGGCGGGGGGCAATGAAGGATCTTACCCCAAAACTTGTTCGGGGGGTGGGCATCGTTTGTTTCGACGTCAGAATTCGCAGGGGCGTGGTCAAAAAAATGTTCCTGGCGAAGGGCCCAATCATATGCAGTTGTGAGTATCGCCCCTGTGGGTATCGCCTTCGGCGGTTTTTTTGCATCCGCCAACGGGCGGCAGTCGATTGATCCGACGTTCACACCCGACGTTCACACCCTGGGTGTTGTCGAAGCGCCCCGAGTTTCTGGAGGCTATGTTACCAGAGCTGGGGGGGACTCAGGCAGAGGATCAGGAAGACAAACACAGGTATGACGACTATGTTATCAGCACTCCCGGAGACCGTGAAACGAATGTGAGGTTATTCGTCTTCGGCCTGCTGGATCATGACCCTCGCCATATCCTAGGTCCTAAGAACTCCCTGCTTCCTGGTAGACCTGGATCCGAATGCAAACTCCTCTTGACGATCGTACAGCTGGTGGTGCTCAGCACAGTGGCAACGTGACGCACGACGAGCATGTCCATGATTATGTTGTGGGAGGTTCACTGTGCCGATCGCACCCCGACCATACGACAGAAAAGCATACCCAATACGCTGACGAGGAAGAGCATGCCTGGACAGATGTCCACGACGGCTTCGAGGTTCCCAATCAGAACAGCGCCGTTGGCGGGCACCAGGACTCCAGCACCTCCTCAATATATGGAGGGGACCCCACTCTGGATGGAAGGTCGTCGGAGCGGGCATGGTCGATGGCACCAGCTGCATCGCTAGCATGGACGCTGGCGGCAGCGGTGGCGGCAACATGCGACTCCTCCGCACCTGGGGGCCCGAGCAGCAAGTTCGGGTGCGCTTCCAACGCTGGGTGCGGGAGGTCGTGATCTGGTCAGTGGCGACTTCCGACCTCAACGGGTTCCGCCAAGCGGCCTACGTCTCGTCTCGCCCCATTGGCATGGCGCGCGGATGCGTGGACGAGTGGCCGTCGGCTGTCCTGACCCAGGGAGGTCATTTCAACGGCAACCCAGCGCCACCCATGACCTTCCCGACACAAAGCCAGGCCGAACGGTTTGACCAGCTAGGCGAGGAGGGGCGCACCCAAGAGGCATCGGCCCTGACGAATTTCAACTGGTTGCCGCAGGAGCGCATCGACAACCTCATCACCAGGTTCGACATCCTTCGCAATCGGTCGCAGCACGCCGGTCAACTCGCGATCGGCCACGGGGGGCCCAGTTACTTCACGCCGCGCGCGGCGGGCGCGGCAAACATCCAACTCGCCATGGCCTACCCCGCGAACGCTCGGCAGTCGTCGCACATAAATGGTCGGCTGCGATGTATTGGGCACGCGGTCGGGCTCGCCAGGCAACCCCGCCTCGGCCGTCCACTCGACCCAACGCCGCTCGTTCCTCACGGGCACGCCTTCGCAATATCAGGCTCAGTGTTTATGGCACTACGGCCGGATCGAGCTGGGATGGCACGGGCCCCGCTGCCGCGGGAGCGGCAACGAGCCCGCCTGCAGCCGCTGCCGCAAACGACACTGGCACGGCAGCTTCAGCATAGGCGGCGCGCCCAGCAGCAGGCGTCGACTCTGGCGCCGACTCCGACGCCGCCAGCCCACTCGGCGAAGAAATCGCCGCCGACGACCCCGAGCTGCCCGACGTTCCAGTGGAACAACGCGGCGCGCACTTCTTTTGGGCCGACGAGCGCGCCGCGCGCGGAAGGCCATCACACGCAAGGGCAAAAGGCCACGGGAAAGGCGCCCGCGTCTGCCTGACCGATTTACTCGACGATGGCCCCCGCGAAGCTTTCGCCGGCTTCGGGAGAGGCATGGCAAAGGAAAAGAAAGAGGAAGGTCAGGACAGGCGGTTCGGGTTTCGGCCGCCAAGGCAGACCGCCGGGCCCTGACTGGGCACGTCTCAGGCGCCACGAGTGCGATTCCGAGGAGCACTTCGCGCGCGCCGCCGGCAAGGGCGCGCCCCCGCCCTCGACGCCCCAGCCACAGCAGCAGCACCACGACCACTGGCATCCTCACCACTTGCACATCCGGGACAACAAAGAGCGCCTGGGCCAGCCGCCCAGCAGCCCGCACCATGCGCACACGCGGCAAGGATGACCAGGGACACCTCTGGAACTCCACAACCCATGGTCGGGGGCCCTGGCGATAGTGACCTAGCGCAGAGCGCCGACCCCTGGAACGGCGGATGACCGACTCCAGCGACTCCACCGCTGCCAGCAGCAGCGCCAGGTGCGTCGTCCGACGGCTCATCGCAGTCAGCGGGCCACAGCCACGGGTCGAGCTGAGCGGGGGCCCCACCCCCGTCCTCTCCCAGCCCGCAGAGGGCCGAGCTACGACGATCGTCGAGAAATGGCCGAGCTCACGAGCCGCGCGCAGCACGATTCTCCTCAACCATCGGGGGACTGGAGAGGGCCCAGTTACAGCCGCGCGCACAGCACCTACGGCTCCAACAGCATCAGCATCACCACCACCACCACCACCGACACCGCCACGTTTGGACCAGAGCGGCCAGCGCCCCCCCCCCCCCACCACATCGGGGCAAGCTCAAGGGCGCGATTGGATGAGCGACATCAGCGCGCGAGTCGCCACGCCTGCGACCCCACCTGCCGACGCGCACTGGCCGAGCTGGGTTTGCATGCCACCCGTTTCAGCCCTCGGCATCAGCGCGCCATAAGAGTCCAGCCCCACGCGGCCACCACAGTCCGCGCTGGCAGCAGCGTCACCGCCAGCGCCGGAATCTCCACGCGATCTGGCCCCATTCTATTTTCAACCAGAACGCCCCTATCGGCGCGAGCCAGCCATCTGGAATTGGCAATAGGGTTCGCCAGCCGAGAGACCCAGTTGTCGAGCGGCGGCCGATCCGAACACAGCGCGGGCAACACTCTCAACCGCGCGCAACGACGGCACCTCGACGAGCTCCACTGCACACGCACTGCAGCAGTCACGACAGCAGGGCGAGCAGCGACGCCAGGCCGCACAGAGCTGGACAGAAACACCCGTGAATCCTCCCCCTGCACCGGCCGCAGCGCCCGCTGCACCCCCCCCGCTGCTATGTTCACCGGCGACGGGAGCGCCCCATCTGCTTCGAGGCCTTCGCACATGGCGAGAGGGTGGTACACTGACAATATCGCCACAGCCTCATTGGCACAGATCGTGCGTCGGCGGGCCCGATGACTATGTCGTCGGCCCACGAGGCAGACCCTGGCCGCATGGGTCTGGCACCCATGGCGCCAGCCCGTTCGGCACCAGACGACGGCGCGCCTAAGGAGACCCCACCACAGCATGACATCACACAGTCTCCTTGGCTCGCACAAGCACTTGGGACAACGCGGCAGGACCTTATGCAGTCACCAGGCAGCGCCTCCACTTGCATGTCTGCTGCCGATGTGGCGGCGCCCGCCGACGCCCACCTGGAACTGCACATTCTGCCCAAGCGGGACCTGCGATCCCGTGGTGGCCTACCTCGCCAGATACAGGAACCAGTTCATCGAACGATTCGTCGTTCTGCCAGGCGAGCACCGACCTCCCGGGCGGCCGGTTAGGCGCCATCGTCGACACCGACGCCCGGAACAGTTTTGGGAGACCACGCTTTGCCATGAACCTGGCCGACAAGGTTTGGAAGGCGAAGCTCGTGCCCGCGGAGGAGGAATTGTCGTCTCCACTCTATGCGGCAGGAGTCGGCAATGGGTCACGGGTTGCGCGCTGGGAGGTACACTGCACCATTGCAATGACCAGCTGCGACGGCGTGAGAGACGGGATACGGCATGCGAGGCGCCGTGTGCATGCGTCTGGGTAAATGTCGCAGTACTGGGAAGGAGGTCTGCCACCTGCTCGACGTTGCGAGCCGATCGCACAAATTTGCGCGTCGATCCCGATTCGGCTCGGAGCTGCTCGCAGGCCCACCCCCCGAGCCTCCACGAGACGGTGAGTGGGCTTGTTTCTGCCGTGGAGATGGGGAGGCCGAGGGAGGAAAAAGGCTACGCCGTATCGGCCGAGCGGGTGGTCCACGGCACGCCCGCGTTCCTTGCCCTGGCCATGGACCTGGACCTTGTTCGACCACCATCTGAGAACAGCATGGCCGCACACCTCTTGTGGCTGTCAGATCAGCTACGCGCGAAACAGCTCAACTACATCTTGTGGTGCGACACCAGAGACAGGCGCACGCGAGCCGACCCCGTGACGAAGGGGGGCATCGGCCGCGACCTGTTATTGGGAGCGATGGACGGCAAGCTCATCCACGACCACCAGATCGTCACGCTGAGCGAGAAGGAGCTGGAGAAAGCCGCACCCAACTCTCAACATAGCGACCCTACCAACAAGAAGAAATGCGACTCGAATGGTTGAATCATTCGACGCTCGCATATCACGGGCTACGTTCGCGAACGCGACGTCCTAATGGCAGATCATCAGGACGGAGATGAAGTGAAGATAGAGCATGATTGTGGTTGGATTGCTGCTCCCACTAACTATGTTGGCGGAGCAGCGGTTGAGGCGACAGTCGAGCATGGTAGCGAGTGCTACTCCCATCAACTATGTCGATGGAGTAGCAGTTCCCGCTGAGGCCTTGCTCCATCGAGCCGCGTGCTGCCCTGTCAACTGTTTATGAAGGGGGTGGTCAGTGGAACCCCCAAATGTGCACCTGTTAGTGTAGCCGGTCTGTTGTGTCCCGGTGGTGGCGTGGACGGTTTGCGCCCAAGCTGCCAACGAGGCACGACGGACCCGCTTGAACGCCAGACTCGAACAGTAGGTTACCTCTGTTTGTTAGGTGCGGGAGGGTGTTTCTCCTCGTCGCCGTTCGATTCAAGGTACCTTCCCGCGCCCGCTATAACACCCGTTTGCACATTCCGCTCTACACACCGCGACAGAAGTTTTCTGCTTTACATTTCTAGTTTCCCCGTCCCCAGGCCACGAGACGGCCGCGGTTCAGCCTCGTCCGTCCGCCCCGGCTATGCCGCCGCAGGTTCTCTCTCGCGCCGCGAAGCGCTGCGCAGATGGCACGCGAGGCCCAGGCAAGGACCTGGGCGCGTACGCCCTCGCGCCGAGCCCGTCGAACCCATGGTCCCCCATCCTTCCTCCCCACCGCTTTCCTTGACTTGGTCTTCCCCGACACGGTTCATTCCCTCTTCCTCCGCCGTGTTGCCCAATGGGTTCCAGCAGGCGGGTTGCCATGTGACGGAGTGATATGTTCCGCTTCGTCCCCCATGCGTGTTGGGTCCATTTCAAGACATTCAACCCCCATCACCGACGGCTTCGGGTGCGAAGCTTGCCGCGACTCGATATAACACGACCTTGTTTGCACTCGTACCCTCCACCCTCGCCCTTCAACCTGCCATCCCAACCCCTGGCACGTGCTAGTCTAGGCTCTGTGCCAGAGCATAGTGCAGCTAGGAGTTAGATCATGCCCATGAGTTTTCGGTTCGGAGTTGCCATACATTTCAAAAACTGTGGGCCGAAGTGTTGAATCAAACGCAGCTCTTCGGTAGTTAGTGCATTACGCGCCAGGCGGGACACTCAGCACTCCCAGCCTGCCAATCTAGTAGCTAGGAAGGTGGTTGCACGACTCGTCCCCCAGGGTACGTGGACTCTTCCTACTACGCCTTATCCTCCTCCTTCTTCTCCTCCCCCTCCTCCTCATCCTCCTCATCCTCCTCGTCCTCCGTCCTCATGGTCCTCCTTCTCCCCCAGCCCCGCATCACCCGCATCCTCCCCCTCTTCCCTGGAGAAGTGCTAGGTGGAGGAGGTGGATGAGGAGCAGGAGGAGGAGGAGGAGTCGCAGGGCCGACCGCGCCCGCAGGATGGTCGGATGCACGTTCGATTGCCAGGCTCCCCGCGGCAGGAGAAGGAGAGAGGAGGAGAGTGGAGTAGACTACGTAGCACAGAGGGGGGGAAGCGGGAGGTTTGTGGACGTCGTTGATTTACTTGGAAGCCCCCCCGGTGCTCCTAGAGGCTGTAAGGGGCTTCCAGTGCCCTCCGAAGACCCGAAGACCTCTAGGGGCTGCGGGGAACCCTCAGGGACGTCCAGGAGCTTCCAGAAATCTCTGGATACCTCTTGGGAGCGAGGGGGCCGAACAGTGGCAAGCGGCGGAGGAGAATTGGGTGAAGCTGGGACAGATGGGGGCGTGGATGACAAGGAGGAGGAGGAGGAGGAGGAGGAGGAGGAGGAGGAGGAAGGGTGAGAGGGAAGGAAGAGGAGTGGGAAGGAGGGATAAATTTACGTTGTTTATAGTTGGATGCCTCCAGGATGCCTCCAGGGGCTCAGGTCGCCACAGCTCGATTCGCCAAACCCTGGCTCCAGCGCGCGACGGGGAGGGCCGGGGAGCGAGACTGACGGGGGGGAGGGCCGGCATGCTGGGCGTCGCCAAGGCAACGGTACTGCCTTGGGCTCAGCATCGGCCGCGGAGGACCGTTGTCAGGCCATGGGGCAGTCGAGAAGCCACGAGCACCGATACACGCGGCAAAAGGATGGCCTGGGGATGGGGTCGAGAATTCTGAGGGGTCTGGGGGGGAGCGCGTTGCGAATAAACGCTACTTCACTTCGGGCATCTGGTGCCAGGGGCTATCATCAGATTGATGCCTGCTTCCGCACGGACTGTGTGCTGGTGAGGCTCTGGAGTCCTCTTACTTCAGTTAGTTGCTGTCTGGCGCGGTATACACACTACGCGCAGGATGCACAACGCTCGCTATGCAGTACCCATGTTGCAGTTTGTTGCTTCTTGTCCTTCGCACGACTGAAGCACTGCAGTCTCCCGATCCGATCACTAACATCCGCACCAACGTCCCAATACGTAAATGCTGGCTTTTCGCGCACCACCGTCAGTCGAGTGCGGGCTCGGCCGCTTCTTTTTAGGCTCGCGCGTGGCCAATTTGGCAGGCCCGTGGCCTGGACCTCTCAGCTCGGCGACTGCTAATCCGCGTCCGCCCGCGACCAAAAAAAAGAACCACCGTCAGCCCATCCAGAAGCGATGGCCAGGCTCTATCGGGGAAGCCCACAAGCAGTGGAATGTAAAGACAAAGGGGCAGCCGTCAAACCGAATCTCGGGATCAGCCAGAGCAGTGAGGAGTCAACCATAGTCTTGGCATCGCTCGGACGTGTGCATTTTTCCTTCGGCGAGGACCATCGAGGATCATCCTTGATCACTTGGCGAAAAAACCACGCACGAAACCGAAAAAAAACACAGGGAATGGACGTCCGAGCGATGCCAGGATAGTGCTTTCGCGGATCTTTCTATATGGGTGACCCTTGGAACCCTTGGAAGCGCAATTCGGCGATGCCAAGGCCATCTGCGGGCAGTGCTAAAGGCCATTAGTGCTCTCTTAGCGCCCTCTGCAGACCCCTTCGGGTCCTCTTGGGGCCATCTGAAAGGGCATCGATCAAAACAGGAGGGGTTCTAACCTAAATTGGAGCCCCCCTCGGAGCCCGAAATATCAGCTCTTGGAGCCCTGTTGTAACGCTCTTGGGACGCCCCTGGGGGCCTTTGGGGCAGTCTGAAGTCGAAATTGGTATAGGGCGGTCATAGTACACGCTGCCCCCGCTCCGAGTCCTGGGATCGCGTGGGGCTTCCATGTCATTCTGCAATCTCACGGGCCGAGTCACGCTCTTGCACTCGATCTCTAGGAGCAAAGCCTCTGAGGTGCATCCTGGAGCTCCTGTGAACACTTCTTCCCTTCCGCGGAGCGGAAGTATGGCCCCCATTTCGCGCGGAAGCGGTTGTCGTGCTCCGCTCCGTATTTGTGGATATCGATCCGTCGGTCAGTGTCCGGCATTTTGGTCATCTGCTAAACTCCCATTTCGCGGTTAGCGGGATCGGTGGTGTAGGTTATCAATCTAATGACGGACATTTCCTCCAGCTTGCCTTGCCGAGCTCTCGGCATGATTATTCGGGCAGTTTGGGCCTGCCTCTCCACTTGCTTGTCTCCACATTCCATCATTATACCTGCGAAATGTGCCAAAGTCAGCACCGCCGTCGTCCTCTGACGGGAGGGGGCTTGCCTGTTCGTGATCCTGCGTTTTCTGGGGCGCTTGGGCGCAGTTTTCGAAGTAGACTTCGCGTTGAGAACGATATGCTAGACATGCAAGAAGTTTGGCACCTCTGGCTTCGATAACGAGTACCGGGTCCGATAGGGCTTCTTTTCATGGCGTCCGCCCCCCAGCCCGATTGGGCTGGCGGTCTCGAAGCAAACTTCGGTCACCTATTTGCCGCCTCTTGTTCGTCCGAGTCTTGTTGGCCAGGTCGGCACGCCTCCTGGCCGTGGCGCGCAGCTTGCCAAGGACCTGCTTCTTCAGCTCGACGCAGATCTCGAGAAGGCTCCACGCGCACTCCGACACTGGCTCGAACTCGTTCACTGTGCCCGGATGGGTCTCTCGCTCCAGTCCTGCCGTCAGCAGCCAGCGCCCGTCCGGGTCTCTGGGGGTGTAACCGTGCGGGCCCTGCGTATCATATGGCACGGAGGCCACTATCGGGCCCCCAGAGACCAGGGCACAGACTAACCAGGACGTTGGCAAGCAGGGGAAACGACACCCTTTCCAGCAAAGCCAGATTTGGTAATCCAGTGCAGTGCTTTTCTGCTGGTCTGGGATGTGCTGCATGCTTTTAGGGCCAGTGTCCGGGTTTGTTCCAGAAATGTTGCAGTGCAGTGTTGTTTCGTGCCGCCGTCTGGAAAAATTGGTTTCGAGGGATGTTGGATGTCCTGGTCTTGCGTGTCTGGGTCTACGTGGCCCTGACACTACTCGGCGCAACTCGCCGATCTCTTCAGGAAAACAATTCTGCACGTCCCTGGTCAGGATCCCGACCAACTTCTGCACTTCTCTGTGGCTGCATTCGACGAGCCCCTGTTCGATGGTGCGAAAGGGGGTCCCAAACCTCCGCCCGATTCCCAAGATATCATGAAATTGTTCACGCTTCGCGAATCCCCACCAGCCCATCCTAAAACAGCCACTTTAGCAAAGAGTACCGACTGTCGGGATTTGTTGGTCATCTTTTCAGCAATGATGCCCAGAGGAGTTGCTTTGATTCGGTCAGGGAAGTGTGGGAGCATACAGAGAAACGAAGGACAGGGGATGCCGCCATATCCCAAGAGGGGAGGATGGAGGAAGAATCGGAGGAGGAGGTGGGGGAGGGGAGGAGGGAGGAGGAAGAGGGGCAGGCGGACGAGGAGGGGAGGACGAGCAGAAGGGCCAGAGGCCTCTTGGATGCATCGCGGAGTCTCGTGGGATGTCTTTTGGGAGCCTCTTGGAGGCCTTTTGGGGCGTCTTGGGGGCCTCTTGGCGGCCCCAGGGGCTTCTAGGAGCGTCTTGGTGGCCTTGGTGAGCCTCTTCGGCCTCTTGGAGCCTCTTGGAGGCCGTTTGGGGCGTCTTGGGGGCCTCTTGGCGGCCCCAGGGGTTTCCAGGAGCGTCTTGGGTGCCTCGGGGGAGCCTCTTGGGGCCTCTTGGGGGCCTCTTGGGGGCATCTTGGGGGCCTCTTGGAGGCCTCTTGGACCCTCTTGGGGCTCTTTGGGAGGGGTCTGGGAGGTATCTTGGGGCCACCTTTCGGGCGATCGATCACAGATGGGGCGAGCACTTTTCTCCCCCCCCCCCCCGTCGGGGCCACGATCCTCGTGAGGGGTGTCGAATTTTCGCCCTCCCAGGAGTCGAAAAAGACCCCTCCGACCACCCGCGAAAGGACCTCTCCAGGCCCAGGGGGAGGGGGGAGGGGGAGGGGTAAACCCCTCCCCGAAGGGGAAGAAGTGGGTTGAGAACAGAGCGGGCTCTCTAAACCACTCACGCCCAAAGGGCTGGTGGGATTCCGAAAGCCCCACACACACACACACACACACGGCCCGCGGCGCGGCGTACGAGACGGACGGCTCTTTTGTCGCGTCTACAGAGGCCGCGTGCCAAGCCCGACCCTTCCCAAAGCCGGGACAAGCGAAATCGTCGCCGTCGCCGTCGCCGTCGCCGTCGCCGTCGCCGCCGCAATGTTCGGAGAGGGAGAAAAACGGGATCGAACTGGGGGCATGGGGGGAGGGGGGCAATGATAGAGACGGTGATGGAAACGTGGGGATGGAGACGAGGGACGGGGGACAGAGTTTGCGGACGGGGGACAGAGTTTGCGGACGGGGGTTATGATGGGGGGTGGGAGACGGGGCACGGTGACTACATGGGGCACGGGGAGAATGGGGGGGGGTAGGATGAGG